GTGAGGGAGGTCAGCGTTCAGTGTGACGTCTGTTCTTTTCACATCAGCACTCAGACACGGCTCACAGCGTGTACCTGTACACAGAACATCACACAAACATTAGCATGCTAACATCCATCTTCATCTGCACCGATTCATAACCAACAGAACCTCAACACTTAGAGGGTCAGGGTACCCAGGTCCAGCCTGACCACCTGATGCAGCCTGACCACCTGATGCAGCCTGACCACCTGATGCAGCCTGACCACCTGATGCAGCCTGACCACCTGTTGCAGTCTGACCACCTGATGCAGCCTGACCACCTGATGGAGCCTGACCACCTGATGCAGCCTGACCACCTGATGCAGCCTGACCACCTGATGCAGCCTGACCACCTGATGCAGTCTGACCACCTGATGCAGCCTGACCACCTGATGCAGCCTGACCACCTGATGCAGTCTGACCACCTGTTGCAGTCTGACCACCTGATGCAGCCTGATGCAGCCTGACCACCTGATGCAGCCTGACCACCTGATGCAGCCTGACCACCTGATGCAGCCTGACCACCTGTTGCAGTCTGACCACCTGATGCAGCCTGACCACCTGATGGAGCCTGACCACCTGATGCAGCCTGACCACCTGATGCAGCCTGACCACCTGATGCAGCCTGACCACCTGATGCAGTCTGACCACCTGATGCAGCCTGACCACCTGATGCAGCCTGACCACCTGATGCAGCCTGACCACCTGATGCAGTCTGACCACCTGTTGCAGTCTGACCACCTGATGCAGCCTGATGCAGCCTGACCACCTGATGCAGCCTGATGCAGCCTGACCACCTGATGCAGCCTGACCACCTGATGCAGCCTGATGCAGCCTGATGCAGCCTGATGGAGCCTGACCACCTGATGCAGCCTGATGCAGCCTGACCACCTGATGCAGCCTGATGCAGCCTGACCACCTGATGCAGCCTGACCACCTGATGCAGCCTGACCACCTGATGCAGTCTGACCACCTGATGCAGCCTGACCACCTGATGCAGTCTGACCACCTGATGCAGCCTGACCACCTGATGCAGCCTGACCACCTGATGCAGTCTGACCACCTGATGGAGCCTGACCACCTGATGCAGCCTGACCACCTGATGCAGCCTGACCACCTGATGGAGCCTGACCACCTGATGCAGTCTGACCACCTGATGGAGCCTGACCACCTGATGCAGCCTGACCACCTGATGCAGCCTGACCACCTGATGGAGCCTGACCACCTGATGCAGCCTGACCACCTGATGCAGCCTGATGCAGCCTGACCACCTGATGCAGCCTGACCACCTGATGCAGCCTGACCACCTGTTGCAGTCTGACCACCTGATGGAGCCTGACCACCTGATGCAGCCTGACCACCTGATGCAGCCTGACCACCTGTTGCAGCCTGACCACCTGATGCAGCCTGACCACCTGATGCAGCCTGACCACCTGATGCAGCCTGACCACCTGATGCAGCCTGATGCAGCCTGACCACCTGATGCAGCCTGACCACCTGTTGCAGTCTGACCACCTGATGGGGCCTGACCACCTGATGCAGCCTGACCACCTGTTGCAGTCTGACCACCTGATGCAGCCTGACCACCTGATGCAGCCTGACCACCTGATGCAGCCTGATGCAGCCTGACCACCTGATGCAGCCTGATGCAGCCTGACCACCTGATGCAGCCTGACCACCTGATGCAGCCTGATGCAGCCTGATGCAGCCTGATGCAGCCTGATGGAGCCTGACCACCTGATGCAGCCTGATGCAGCCTGACCACCTGATGCAGCCTGATGCAGCCTGACCACCTGATGCAGCCTGACCACCTGATGCAGCCTGATGCAGCCTGATGCAGCCTGATGCAGCCTGACCACCTGATGGAGCCTGACCACCTGATGCAGCCTGACCACCTGTTGCAGTCTGACCACCTGATGCAGCCTGACCACCTGATGCAGCCTGACCACCTGATGGAGCCTGACCACCTGATGCAGCCTGACCACCTGATGCAGCCTGACCACCTGATGCAGCCTGACCACCTGTTGCAGTCTGACCACCTGATGCAGCCTGACCACCTGATGCAGCCTGACCACCTGATGGAGCCTGACCACCTGATGCAGCCTGACCACCTGATGCAGCCTGACCACCTGATGGAGCCTGACCACCTGATGCAGCCTGACCACCTGATGCAGCCTGACCACCTGATGGAGCCTGACCACCTGATGGAGCCTGACCACCTGATGCAGCCTGACCACCTGATGCAGCCTGACCACCTGATGCAGCCTGATGCAGCCTGACCACCTGATGGAGCCTGACCACCTGATGCAGCCTGAGGACCGCCGTTACCATGGTCACTGTGTAAAATTAACCGATCACAGATCCATACATTTCTGCGATGACTCAAACAACAAATTGGACTGCACGGTGGTACCCGACCAATCATCACGACTGACGTGATGTCTCAGCAGAGAGCTGATCCTGATCCTTAATCTAGATGAACCTCTTCTTTAAAGGTCTGAATCCCGTCCAGTCTTTATGGATTCTCTGATCCAGGTTAGAAGTATTAGTAGATGATAAAATGTATTTTTGTAAACATCTGAGTGTTTTGACTCCTGAAGCTGTGCCTGATAACCAAATGAGTTCTACCAACATGACTTTGCATGAAATGCATTTAAAAGTTACTGCTGAACACAGAGTCATCTGAGCAGCTGCAGGACTTCAGTCTCTTCACACGAGGATGGAAAAACTTCTCCTGAGTTTGATGGCTGCAGCAGGTAAGTGACTCTTCTGATTGAATCCAAAGGCTTTAATATTAACGTTATTAATGATGTCATTCTTCTTACACTCCTCTTACACTGAACACAATCATGATCACTGAATTATTTTCAGAATAAACCTTTCAGTGTTTTCATCACAAAGACATGAACAGCAGGTTACACTTCAGGGTGTGAATCTGATCCGTGTGCTTCTCTTCAGGACTGTGTGCCGTTTATACACATGTTGGACGTCAGTTTCATTTTGTGCACGAGCCGAAGAACATGAGTGAAGCTCTGAGCTACTGCAGAGACAGATACACCGACCTGGCCTCCATGGACAACATGGAGGACGTGGAGCTGCTGAACAGAGAGGCAAATTTAAGCAGAATGGTCTACTTAAAATCCAGCCACGTGAGTCCTCTTCACCACGTCCATGTAATGAGGCGATGCCTCATTGGTGGTCAGGCTGCATGTCCTGACCTCCCGTTTACTTGCCACCCTAGTCTGAAAAGTCTGAACACGGCCCTGACTACATCCTGCTGTTTGTACTTTTCCAAACTGAAGCTGAAAAATAATATAAATCAAATGTTGCTTTCAGCTGGTGTGGATAGGTTTGTACGACGAAGTGGAGAGCTGGAGGTGGTCACTGTCAGACAGAAGTTTCTACAAACCTGGAGAGAGCACCTTCAGACACTGGTCACCTGGAGAACCCAACAATTATCTCAGTTTAGGGCACTGTGCACAGATGTTAGGTGATGGACTCTGGAACGATGTACCATGTGGGCAACTTCACAAGCCAGTCTGCAGTAATGTCACAGGTGAGAATATGAATTATGACAGTGAACTCTTGTTTTCCTCCATCTCTCTGTTGTTTTCACTGGAACTTTATTCAAAGCAGATAGATGTTGATCATTACGCTGCTTTACATAGAAACTGTTGAGACATGCACCAAGGCACACACACAGAGTTTTAAATTGTCAAAGCATTAAGGCACAGATACTTCCTGGATACAGTTTGGTACAACACTGTGGTCTCTCTTCAGGGTGGAATGTGACCTTTGTCCTCATCAACACTAACATGACATGGACTGAGGCCCAGAGCTACTGCAGAGAACACCACACTGACCTGGCCAGTGTGAGAAACCTGGATGAGAACCAGAAGATAAAGAAGCTGAGCTCAGGATCCCTGATTTGGATCGGCCTCTTCAGAGAGTCCTGGAAGTGGACGGATGGAAGTAATTCTTCGTTTAGGTACTGGAATGAAAATGAACCCAATAACAGCGATGAACCAGAGACATGCGTGGCCGCTTATTTAATAAAGTCAGGCAGATGGGAGGACTGGCCCTGTCACTACAAGAGAGCATCCATCTGCTACAGTGGTGAGCTATCGTTACATTGTGGATTCAACCAGGGGTGGCTGGTCAATAGAGGGCGCCGCCCAACCACATCCACTGTATGTTTTTTTTAAAAGAGCATTTATTCAAATGTTTAATTTGTAATACAAATGTTGTGACTCCATAATAAGTCCAACTTGTCCCTCTCCTGTTTCTTCCATCAGCCGATCCTGCAGCAACGACAGCTTCTTCTCAAAACGACACCATCATTAAAGGTTAGAGATCTATTCAACTCTATGTTCAGAGACCCTTTATCACATTTATCACGAGTCAAACTGCCCCAAATACCTGCGCTACACTCTTAAGAACATTTGGGGGTGAGCTGATGTGTGAACGCTGCAGGAAATATTCAGGTACATTCACAGTGAGCGAGCCAAGTTCATATCCTGTGACCTGCTCGCGAGCGGAAACTAGAGTTAATCAGGGGATAAAGACACACAGGTGAGAAAAGTCAGGGTCCAAGGTCCAAGCACGGCGCCGCAGGAGCTCCACATGCACACAGTCAGACGTGCACACACACACAGCGCTGTGCTCCCCCGCTGACTCAGCTGATCCCCTCTCTCCTCTGTAACGCCTCTGAAGACGGGACAGAGGGGGGGGGTGGGAGTCTGAATGTCGTGGAGGAGTAGTGGGGCATTACTTCGACGGGCGTGATTATCGTGGCCACAAATCATAGTACGAAAAGGCAGGTGATGATTCTGTAGCAGTGAACCGAGGAAATCTTTGAAACACAAACAATCTCCTTACAAACAGAGTAGGAAAGTGGAACAGAGTTTGTCTTTATGATAGTCCATGCAGATGATCATTTAAAGTCTTTATATGTGATTTTTTGATCCAGCAGGTGTCGCCCTTGAGCACCAGCATGAAACCAAAACAACTGGCGCTGCATTGTTGTGTTAGCATGCTCATGCTAGCGATCTTTATTATGCTGGTATCTTCACACTGCATGTAAATTTACCTGAAATGAGCGTGATCTAGAAACACAGTTAAGCAGTGAGTACAGTATGTTATTCTTCTTCTCTCTAGTCCCTCAATTAAACAACTTTTATACACGAGGGGAGGAGTCAGCCGGCCGTCCTGGCGATGTAAACAAAGTGAAGATAGGACTCTGAAAACTCTGAAAACATCACAGACAGTGGGACTCGGGTGTTACACCCATTGTAGACAGTCATGACTCACAGAGTTATTTTCAGAGGAGATACTTGATTTCTACATTTAAGTGTGAAAAATCACAGATTAAACCTTTAACCACGAGCATCTTGAATGATCCCGTCTGTCTGCTTCTCAAAGACGCTTCAGTTTCAAAAGGAGTGGTCAAAGTGAGGCTGGTGAAGAGCTCCTCTGTGGATATGAATGACCCGGCAGTGATGGACGCCATGTTGAAGCAGGTACATCTTCATCATTACATTCAAAACAGACCAACAGGGTCCCCTGTGTGACGAGGTGAACAAAGAGAAGAGTGTCTTTAAATAATGCTGTTATAATAAGAATGTGTGAAAAGATGGACGACATGACAGCTCTGGCGTCTTGCATGGACGGGCATGAGGGTCAGGTGTAATGCAGGCGAAGGCGCTGGCGTTGGCATGCTGATCCCCGTCAGCGTTGACTGGCTTTAGATACATGGAACGTCACCTCTCTGGTGGGGAAGCAACTGGAGCTAGATGAAGTTGAGCTTGTGTTGGCACACTGCTCTGGTTCTGGAACCAAACTCCTGTAGTTTGTGCTTATGCACCAATCAGCAGGTGGCAGTATTCAGCCTTCTTGGAGTCACTGTGTCAGGTACTGGAAGGGGTTCTGGCTGGGGAATCCATTGTTCTACTGGGGAATGTCAACATGGGTTGAAGCCACTTTACCGCCCGTTCGAGGCAAAATCCTGCTATGAGAATGTCATTGACCTGAATGTTTGTCAGTGTTTGACAAAGAAAATGTTTTCTGTCAGATCAAACAGAAGCTGAAGGACCAGGGGGTGAAAGGCGACGTCAAACTGAGCTGGAGGAAGCAGACGGACGGGAAGGTGTTCCACAAAGAGGAGAAGAAGAAGAAGATGAGGAAGAAGAGGATGATTACAAAACCAAAAGATGAGCTGTAGAGTAGTGAAAGATGTTTTTCATTGGTCAGTAGCGGATCATTCCCACAGTTATGGTATGGTACAAAAGACTTCTTGTATTTCATTGGTACAGAGGCTGTGAGCGTCGACTGTTTCCTCTTATAATAATCACTTTACTGTAACGAGGTGATCATCTTTCTGTATTAGTATAGTGTAACTCTTTCTCTTTACGTCTTGTTGAAAGATCAGAAAGAGTTATGCAATTGTTGAATTTGTTTTTACCATATATGTTCTTTTATCATCATTTCATTCATATGTCATATAGTCATAACTACTTTTTTATTGCTTTTACATATCCTGTCAATCATGCACACATCCGCGGTGTCTATGCACCTGTGAGGTCAGGATAAGTCTGCCATACTTTGAGTTAAACCACATAGGAACTCGTGAGTGTATAGCGTTTCTGCGAATCTGCATTGTTGAGGTTTTACAGAATCTTGGAAAAAACAGACAGTTTGGCTCTTTTTCACTTTTTCTAAAGGGCTCCACGTCACTCTGACTTTCAAATTCCTGTTTTGGGACTTAGTCTCTGAGACCGAGATCTTTTAAAACATCAAGTGTCTACACGCTCGGGTTTAAACTTTTGATTTTGTATTTTACATTTTTATAGTTTTACTTTTACTGCTTTGTATTTTGAATATCTTTTGAAGTTTTTTCAATAAACTTTCTGAACTTTCTGAAACCATTTTTCTGACTCAAGTCATTCACACCACAAAGACCCGAGCCTCTCTTAAGGACGCCGCGTGAACCTCGGTAGGTAAGCATGAGCAGTCACACCACGGCACACTTCTACTGACTTTTACTACACACCTCATACACACCTAGCATCCGAGTGAGGAGAGTTGCAGTTATTCCCTCTCTGGGGGTGAGAGCCTCAGGGGGGCTAATCTAGGGTCCTGAATCAAGGATTATACTTGAATCTTATTATTCTAGAAATGAATGTTAGGCAGATAATCCTAGAGCTATGCGGTTATATAAGTCTTCTCTTCTTGACAAGGTGTTAGCGGAGTAATTTTACATAGCTCCAGGTACTAGGAAAGGAGAGACTAGCAGCTGGTAGGGAGCGAGCTCTCACATAGTTCTAGGAAAGAGGAGACTAGGTAGCTAATGGGTGGTGAGCTTCCGTTAGCTATAGTAAAGTTATTCACCCCTTTATGCATGTCCAGGACATGTAACAGTCTTTACGTCTAATGATTCTGTTTAAATCCTAAAAGCTGAGCAGGGACTGCATGTTATCATTCGACGGATGAAGCCATGTTCATGTGTCTGTGTTAAATAAACAAATACAGTAAATAACTGTAAAAACAAGAAGACTGTCTCTTTAGATTCGTATTGTTTCATAAGGAAGGTGAGAATAAGCAGCATGTATCCACCTGATCCCTTCCATCCATGTGTTTCTGGAATATGGAATAAATAATGTCTGCTGCAGCCCCTTCCAGTCAGCTGCTCGGTCTTTCAGTTAAAGCACAAATAAAAAACGACTTCAGCTCTCAGTCAGGCTGAACGCTGCGTCTGGATGTGCAGCTCATTTCTCACAGGAGGAAGTAAAGGATGTGCATCCGACCCTGAACACAAATCATTGGAGCGAGTCGAAGAAGCTGTGACTCTGAAGTCTCCTGGGAGAGTTTTTGAGGACCTCATGAAGACTGCAGGAGGGTCAGATTTTATTTCTCTATCAGAACGTCTTATTTGCAAGAGGTCAGATCACATGAGTGTTTCTTCATGTGTTTCTGAGATACAGCTTCCCAACATTTCAGATCCTACCAATGAATCTGATCTGGTCCGTTTGACTCTCTGAAACCTTAGAGCGGTTCAGTCCCGAAGTCCACCAGAACCCAAAGATGTTGTGGTTTTAACAACATCCCACAAATATACAGGAGAGGAGAATCATACACAGTATATCATATTCATAATTCCTTATGCAATACATTTCAAAAGAAGGGATGAAAACAGCAGACAAAAGGGGCAAACAAAGATTGAATCGTCTCTCTCCCCTGGATTACCACAACACAGAAAGTATAGAAATAAGTAAAGAATAATGGCAATGGGGGAAATTATTTATCTTGTGTGTCATCTGGTTTTCCAGAGGATCCTTACAGACCGATGGTACGCCTGTGTCATGAATCTGAAGGTGATTTGTTTGATGTGCAGAGTAAGAACGTTTCTACACATATATTAGTGAACGAGGCTCAATGCATCTCCCTCTCTTCAGTATTTATTCTGTGTCTTTCATCCCTTCTGTTTGTCTTCTTCCTCTGAGTCAGCATTATCTCCCAGTCTGATACTTCCCTGTTTGCTTTTCTCTTTCCTGTTTTATGGATTTGGATTCTGCCCGCTCCCTTTGGGTGTGTCTGCCCGTCTGTGAGGAAGACACAAACACTCCTCCTTTGTACCTGAATAAATCAGCCTGAAGTGATTTGTGTGCTCCAGAACTTTCGTAGGACCTGAGAGAAGGAGTCCACTGAATGATATTCTGAACGTCTGAGGTCATCCTCTGAGACCACCGAGCTCCCCGTGGAGCGGCTGAAGGGTAGAGGTCGGTTTGGAGTGTTTGGTGTGTGAGTCTGACCTCCAGTGGTTTGTGTTTCTATGAGCGTCAGTTTGTAAAGGAAAATAATTCATGACTGATTGTTCATCAATGGAACAGACTGCTCCATGATTCAGAGCAGTGTTCTCTTACGTCTGTAAGTGTGACCGGCTAAATGTTTTAACCCCCTCCATGGGGTCCCAAGTCTCGAGCTCCTGGGGGGTCATGGGACCGGTGATCCAACAGCACACTGTCCAAGTGCTTCATCGGGTTTCAGTGAGTCAGAAAACATTAGACTAATAAACCACTCATCACACACACACTGCTTTGCATCAGAGTATCTTTGTAGGTTTTACGTACACACAGACACACACACACACACACACACACACACACACACAATGATACACACACACACACACACACACACACACAGATTTGTTTTTGTATCTGCTCGTTTCTTTCTTCATGTTATTTCAAACATTGAGTGTAAATCACAGCCGCTGCTGCTGCCTCCTTTCAGATGACGTTCTTAAACTTTATTTTCCTACCATGCAAATCTTATTTTGCCTAAGCTCCGTGAAGCCGAGTGATCCTGAGGTTCAGTCAGCTGTTTATGAGAGACTGATGGACCTGTGAGTGTGACTGAACACTGAAGATGGACTCACTTATTCTCCTCCTCATCGTCGCTGCATCAGGTAAATCCTTTATTTATGATTTATTGATTTCATTCTTTTACTGTAGATACAAACTTCTATTTGTCAAACTCACAACTTCAGTCATATTAATGTAAAGAGGAGGAAAAACTAAATGTAAGAATCCAAAGCTGGACCAGGTTCAGGACCAGGATCAGGTTCAGGATCAGGATCAGGATCAGGATCAGGTGACTTTATTTGTACCTGTGGGTGGATTTGTTTTGCAGCTAGTGAGACAGAAACAAAAAAAATCAAAACAGTTCTGTCTCGATCGGCACACACTGAACTTTTTGTCTTTTTGATTTTATAAGTGAATTGAAGTATTCACAATAAGGCGTGTAGCTGACCTGATTGACAGGTGGGCGCGGTGTAACGGTTTGTCAGGAGGTTTAAAACCCGCCTCAGCTCCAGCTCTCAGCCTGTCGTTAGGTTGACTGAAAGTTAGACTAAGACAGCATTTCCAGCATGGAGGCCGCTAGGCTTCATCCACTTTTCTGTCTATTCTGGACATGCAAGTCAGGAAGCTTGAAACTTTCTAGAAATGTTAAGGAGTACATGTGCTTTGTCTTCCACTGCAGGACTGTGTGCCGAGTCATCACAAGTTCAATTACGGTACTTCTTTTATTATGAGCCAAAGAGCCGAGATGAAGCCCGGGCCTTCTGCAGAGACAAACACACAGACCTGGCCACCATAAGCAGCATGGAGGACGTGGACACCCTGAGGGGCATGGCCGATCTAAGCCAAATGATAAACCAGGATTTCAGCCATGTGAGTTCACTTTGATCATTGTAAAGTCATTCAGATCCATGTTGGTGACCCACGTGGACTGATTACTTTAATCTTCTAGTCAGAGACGGGACCCTGTAGACATCCAGGCAGAATGATGGATGTTATATATTAAATGTAATCTTTCAGCGAGCCTGGATTGGTCTGTACAACGACGTGGACAGCTGGAGGTGGTCGCTGTCAGACCCGAGTTTCTACGGTGACGGAGAGGCCGAGTTCAGACAGTGGTTGTCTGGACAACCAGACAACACACACAGTGTTGAACACTGCACATCTATGTTTGATAATGGATGGTGGAATGATGTACCCTGCACAGAAAACTATACACCAGTCTGCTGTGATGTCACAGGTGAGGATACTAACCACCTGAATATAATAACAATAATAATAGAATGAGCATTTAAAGGTGACATATCCTCCTCCTCTTCTTCAGTTTAAATAAGTCTCAGAGCTCCTCAAAACATGTGTGTGAAGTTTCTTGTTCTAAATCCACTCTGATCCTGTATTTGATCATGTCTATAAACCCCTCTATTTCAGCCCTGCTCAGAACAGGCTGTTTCTGTGTCTGTACCTTTAAATATGTAAATGAGCTGTGTCTGACCATGTTACACCCCTGTACAGCGTACTGTAAGGGGAGAAATAAAGAAGAAAGAAACAAACACGTTGTTGCTGGCTTTCATTCAATGGTGTAATGAATAATATGCAATAACACATCATATTATCATTGTACAATATTATACACTTAGATGAACATACATGCACTGTTTAATACCTTTACATCTGTCATATAACAGGCTAGTATTTCTCAATATTGTATAATCTACTGCTTGTTTTATGTAAACACATTTAACTCTTTCTTAGTTGCTTTAGTAGTTATACACATACACACTTGCAGAGTGATATTTCTTTAAACTGTACCATGTAACTGTAATTGTTCAACTGACCGATACAACTTAAATAACACACTCTCAGTAGACGCACTACACGTGTCTCTATTGCGCTCTGTCTGTGTGATTCAAGCTAGCATGCACGCATCACGGCAAACACATTCATGCTTAAACTGCTTCATAAACATACTGAAATTACTTTGTATATAGAAAACATATCACTAACTTGTTCCCGGAAACTTACAACACATTTATACTTGGTTTTATTCACTTTTAACCAGTATTCTTACCTGTAAGGGGAGAAATAAAGAAGAAAGAAACAAACACCTTGTTGCTGGCTTTCATTCAATGGTGTAATGAATGACGCTCAGACAACACGCTCCCCCTGCTGGCGTAAAACCGGAAGTGTAAAACAATAACAAAAGCTTAAGACCAAACCAATCAATTACCGATATGCTTTTAAACTTAACCTTAGCAGCATGAATTAACATTAAATTATAACTAGCTTTTTAGCATTTTTAAAGGATATACAACATTTTAGAAAGACAGTAGTTTTAACATGTATTATTAATTTAACTTAGTGCACAATCTTATATCCATTACAACCACGCCCCCTCTCTGGAAGGGCTTGGGTGTACTCTGTCTTTCTCGCTCCATGTCCTATTGTTTACGGTGAGAAGGCAGACTCAGAGGGAAGAACAAACACCTAGCTGTGGGAGTGTCACCCACCTGGGGGAGGGGCTACTGCCCTTTGTGATGTCATGAAGGGAAAATCTCCAAACGGCCTGTTTAAGCACACATTTTCTGAAAAGTGGAGCAGGCAGAAGACGGAGAGGATGGACTTTTCTCATCATTGGGGGGTTTGTAGACGGACTAGAGACACATGTTAGAGTTAGAGGAACATGGAGAAGAGGATTTAGGATTTAGTCCTTTAATGGACCTGAGGAGCCTTAACATGGTGGAGGAACCAAACAAAGAACAAAACCAAACTGAGACAGGTAACAAAGGATGGAGAGGCAGAGTTGATGTGGAGAAGTGATGGTGGAGGTCTCAATGTCTCCATAGATGTTTGGTGTGTGTGGTATGGACAGCAGGCCGGTGTCTGTGGTCTAGAGGTTTCTGGATGTGGTGTGAGGGTGCAGGAGGTCGGAGAGGTACTGAGGGTGTAGCAGGAATTCATTATTGAGGAGGGGTATTTAGTATTTGATTCTGGTTCTAACTGGAATAAGTTGTGAAGTGAAAAGGTTTAATGGATTAATACAGACTCAAAGAAAGACCTCACTGTGGTTTCTCTTCAGGGCCCGATGTGACCTTTGCCCTCATCTCCACCTCCATGTCATGGACTGAGGCCCAGAGCTACTGCAGAGAGCACCACACAGACCTGGCCAGCGTGAGAAACCTGGCAGAGAACCAGGAGGTGAAGCAGCTGGTTCCTCCTGGACAGAGAGTCTGGATCGGCCTCTCCAGAGAGTCCTGGAAGTGGTTTGATGGCAGTAACTCCACGTTTAGGAACTGGAGTCCGGGGAGAGCAGAACCTAACAACTTAGACCCAAAGGAGGATTGTGCTGCAGCAGACTTTAACAACAAAGGGGGCTGGGAGGACTGGACGTGTGACTGGAAGAGATCCTACATCTGCCACTCTCTGGGTGAGTGGACTCTAATGAGTCACTTAGTGTTCCTGTTTGGATTCAATACACTAAAAACCATCAACAGAAAACTGATTTGAATATCCTGATCTTCATTTCCATGAATTTGTTTGACTGTGGGGATGTCAGCCGAGTGCTTAAAAGACGCCCTGCAGGCCTCTTTACTCTGACAGTGAAGTGATGTGAACACATGTTTGTGTCTTCCTCTCAGAGATCACTCAACATGTGATCAGAGTGAGCGTGCAGAAGAAGAAGAACCCCTCTGTGGATCTGAACCACTCTGCTGTGATGGAACACATCCTGCTACAGGTGAGCCATGTTTGACCTTTTTATGATTTCATGCAGAAATAACCAAATGACTAAATGAGACAACACGAGGCTTCAATCATCCCCGGAAAGATATACTCAAATGACAGAAGCACAGGAAGTCATGTGGAACAGATTCAGAGCCATTTGAAATCATGAATTCAGCAAATCAAGAGCAGTAATGTCAAACTATGATAGTAGTACTTACAATAAACATGACATGATTAGGATGTAGTATAAGGAACAGTATTACTGAGTCTAAGGAGTCAGAACTCTCCTGATAGTAACTTAAACAAAGACTCAGATGACAGACTTTCTTTTTTAAACCCTTCTTGATGCATTCACCTCGTGGACTCTTTGGTTTTGTCAGCACTATCACTGAGAACTGTGGAAAAGCTTAAAGTCCACAAGGAGCTGCTGTGAAACCTTTAGAGAAAGATTTGATGTTTGGCTTCAGACAAAATAAAAATGATCCTGCAGTCAGTGTTAGATGTCAAAATACCTTTAATGAAGCAGTATGTAACTCTGCCCCCTGGTGTTTAAAATGGGTACTGCAGTCTAAATTAAAAACATCATAGAGAGCTGTCTCCCCCCCCCCCTCCTCTCTAGAGTGGATGCTCACTCAGGTCACCATGTGGTGGACTCTGAAGCTTCAGTGTTTATCCAGCTCTGCATGGGTCTGTAAACCTTTCTGTGTTCTAACCTCTCTCCATTTTTCAAAAGCATCTCCAATATTGATCCTAGTTTGAGCACGTTTCTGCTCGTGGAGCTTATTAGAAACATGCAGAGGCTTTTTAGGTCGGGTACAATCACTTCTATCTGAACCACTTCTCTTGACCGCTTCCATCGCTGCAACACCTGTTGACCTGATAACTGCTCTCATATCTGACAAACCGAGGGGCGTCCAAAACGGCCGTGTGGGGGGTCTTAAAAGCGCCTACCTTCTCTGGTCCAAACAAATCCAGAGCATTCAGGAGCAGAATCTAAAGTTAGAAGGAGGACATACTGGCTGCTGCATTGTTGTCAGAGAAGCCAGCACTTCAACATAGCATGTTTCCTTAATGATCAGAGAGTAAGATACCTTTATCATCTCACTCTCTACACAGCTCACTGATTGGATCTTTAAGTCTACTTAGACTGGTAGTGTCGGTGCTCTCACTGTTTGTCTATGGACACAGACATAGAGTCTGTTTTTGACAGGAATTTACAAGATCAATTCTGGAAGAAATTTCTGAATCAGTTGAGGAAATGGCCTTATGTGTTGAAGTAAACATGTCTGTAAATGTTTTTATTACTATATTTCTACCGCTAGGCAATATTGTATATCTTGGAGAAACTGTAACGATCAAATTTCCCTCTGGGATTAATAAAGTAAAGCCTTTTCACGGCCAAGAAGGCACCAACTTCAAAATGTATTTCACATTCCTACATATATGACCCAATGTCAATACAGATTCATGTTTCAATGGGTGAAGTATCCCTTTAATGTCTGATCATACAGTAAGGTCACTTTATCATTCCACTCACTACACATCTCTGGGATTGTTTTATCGTTGTTGTTTTTCTGTATGTTGGTGATAATATGAATGATTGCTGTTTCTCAGCTCCAACAGCAGCTGAAGGATGAGGGGCTGCATGCAAACATCCGGCTGAGCTGGAGGAAGCAGCCGGATGGAAACGTCTTCCAGAAGGAGGAGAGCGAGGAGCAGGAGGAGGAAGAGGGCAGAGTGACATGTTGAACTGCTGTGGTTACATTCAGGAGAGAAAACCCTTCTTCTCTTCTGAATGCTCAACGTATAAGTTGCAGCGACGATTTGATAAGTTGCAGCGACGATTTGATAAGTTGCAGCGACGAGCTGATAAGTTGCAGCGACGAGCTGATAAGTTGCAGCG